TATGCGAAAAAGTGTCATTCTGGTGGTGACTGACTTCATCTAAAGTAGTTTATTTTACAGAGAACTTCAAAGAAAGATAGCGGGGAAAGAAAGATTCGACTCCTGCACAAAAATGCTTGGCGCTTCACTGAAATGTGTAAAATGTCAATTTCGTCATAAAGACTGAATTCAAATGTCATGTCAGAAGCCTCTAGGACGCCGCTCTGGGAGGACCCACCAGATGTCCGCGGTGCCCACCGGCGCGTGGGGAGCGGGAGGGGTGGAGGGTTGGGGTGGGGGGGGAGGCGTTGGTGTTAGCGGCGGTTCTGCATATTGCGGTGTTTCTGTCAGAGTCGGGACCGGAGCCAAGCAGGAGTCGGGAGCGCTGCGCTAAAACATTCTGTTCTGCATCTGGAGCCGCGCCTTCAGGCTGCGGAGAGGAGTGCGTGTGTTGCGGGGGGTGGGGGTGGAGGGAGCTTTAAACAGGTGCAGCTTTTTTTTTTTTTTTTTTTTTGACGCGGGACTCAACCGCGTGTCAAGACCCCATAACTGGACTGCGGGCACGCAGTCACACGGAACTCAGATTTACGCTTGTTGTACGAAGTACAACCCGCTCAGACACAAAGAAAGAAAGAAAGAGAGAAAAGAAAAAGAAAGAAAATTCCCTTCTTTTCTAAACAACTTACCTCACTCATGTTGGAAGCGTGTGCGCGGTGCGAGTTGTGCGGCAGAAGTGGACCACGGTCGTGTCTCCCGGTTCTTCAGACTACCGGAGCCGTTGAGAAAATAAAGCGCCGGGTGAAACTGTTGTCATGCAGGGAGGCGGCGGGGAGGAGGGGGGAGAGAAACACCGCTGCGGACTGAAGGAGATGCGGTTCCTCTCTGAGGGGCAGACGGAGGCACTGCAGCTCTCTGGTGGCGGTAAAGAGAGAAGGAGGATGCGGCGCGTGGAGCGGTGAGGTTTATGAGCAACAGCAGCGCTCTCTCTCTCTCTCTCTCTCTCTCTCTCTCTCGCTCTCGCCCCGCCGGTCTCGCGGTGTCGCCCACTCAGTCTGAAGCAGTCATCGGGGAGCAGCCTGATGCGCTCCGACACGGATGTTTATGGGCACAAAAGCCTCAGATCATTCAACCCAGTTTAAGCTTCCATCAAACATTTCCTTAAGATTATCTTTTACAGTTCAATAAACCAAGAACAATAATTACTTCATATTTTTTAACTTTATATAACTTTACATATATATATATATATATATATATATATATATATATATATATATATATATATATATATATATATATATATAATATATATTAGAAAAATAAAGAAATATATTTGTATATATATATATATATATATATATATATATATATATATATATATATATATTTATATTTATATTTATATATATATATATATATATATATATATATATATATATATATATATATAATATATATATATATGTATTTTTTTCAGAAAAATAATAATATTTTTTTGTTGTTTTTTTGTTTGTTTAGATTTTCTCATTAAAACCGTTAGGGATGCTCGAGAATGGTTTTATTTTCAGTTTTGAATCCTCACATTCAGGAGCAACAACTTGTAGGAAGTTGCTGCAGTTCGAGGAGCCACTGCAGTGAACTTTAAGAGGTAGGTTCAAAATAGGCAAGTGGAAACCACTAAGACATAAGCCGTAGCATATATATAATTTAAAAAATACTGAAGATTTTTTATTCTTTTTACACACTCCGCAACAAATTAAATATACAATACTTTTAATGAAACAAAGTAGAAAAAAACTAATTATTGTAAGTCTGACAAAGGGTTTCATTAAAGAAGGTGGCTGTTTCTCGAGATTTTGTGTCGTTTTTTAGTTTATCTCTGATAAACTAAACAATTTTAGTGTATCATTATCAAGCAGGATCCGCAGAGCATTAAACCACTTAGGATGATGGCTACTAAACACACGTTTAAATGACCTGAATGTGAATTTTAACACATTTATAGCTATATTGCTATAAGGAGCAATATAGCAACTGTCACTTTAGGTTTTCCCTGACTAACAGCGTACATTATTGAAATGAGTCGCAATTAATACCTAAAAGGAGACATTTAAAATAGTCTTAAGTAATTACAGGCCAATTTAGAATAACTTAAAGTGCATAACGCCATAAGAAAAGCACATAAATCTATCATGTAAAGGTGGAACGTGATGCCAAAGGACACAGATTGATGTCACAACAACAAAATACAGGATACCAAAAAAAAAAAAAAACATTCACCCAAACGACCTGAATCAGATTGCAAACTAATCCAAGCGGTACCGTTGAAAAAACAATTTAGCATGTTTTTTCAAGTTCCGTTTGGGATTTTTGTCTTTTGTAATCTAATCGTACCAGTACAAGTACGCTGAATGAAGCGATTATAATTTATTAAGTTATGAATATTAATATCTGCTCCCTGAAACTACGGGCACAGCTGCTTGACACTGTTGTCTCCAGGCAACAAGGTTCAGGGTCTGAATCCAGGCCTGGGTTACAGACAGACGGATGGTTTGATGCCAAGAACTGAAACTTTTCAAGCATATTCCCAATATCTCCGCTAGATGGAGGTATTGTGTTTCTGGTCATTTTTCGATAGGCCAAACGTTTGAATTTGAACGCTTGTGGAGTTAAGTTGTAAGACAATAAACTGGTACATGAACCTCTGCCACATTTGTAAGCTTTGAAACCCTCCAACTCTGAGAAGAATTACATGCGTGTCAAATACCATAACATAAAACCCAGGTTACCTCAATCCAAGTCGAAGAAAGTAGAACTTTAGAGGTAAATTTCCATATTTCCATGTTGACATGATGTGTGTTTGGTATCCTGGTCTAATTGGAACCCCTGATTCTGGCCAAGTTTCCTTTATTTATCTATTGGTTTGGCTGAAAATGGAAGAACTCAGTGCTGGTCTTTCATCTCTGGTAACTCTGGCAATGGAACCGTCCCACAGCATGATCCTTCCATCACCATGCTTGACGCTTGGTGCTGCATTCTTGAGGTGTAAAAGTCTTGCTTTGATTCCAAAATTTGTCGTCTCATTGTTGGCAAACAACATGAAACCTTTCTGTAGAAAGGCGTGGGGCTTATCCATGATCTTGATGGTATCCATTTTGTAGATGATGTTCAGTTCTTGTCCTAAAATGTTTGAAAAATCCTTTACTCTATGAGGCAACCGTTCGGCTGTGCAAAACACCTGAACCAAATTTCCATCTCACAGAGCAGCCCTCCACCAGAACGTCCCCACTCAGCTCCTTCAGACTAGAGGCAGCAGCAATCATTAAACACCTGGTAGAACGGCACATCATTAATGAGTGTTATTCAAGGGTTAACAGAGGTTTGCTGATGTGACTACTCCCTGAAGGAGTTTCGGAAACAGCAGGAGTTTTTAAAGTGACAGAGGCCCAATTTAAAAAATGTAGAAATTTTGAAAAGTCACATTTCTTTTAAGTCTTATTGCATTTTTATTGTAACTACCTGATTACGCAATAAAATGTGCCTAGACAATACACAATATATCCCCTTTAAGACATATTTTTTCACAGTCCGGGTTTCATCACTGTTGCAAATCAATGTCAGCTCAGCATGTTGTTGAGCAATCTAGTCTTGGAAATGAAACAGACTGGAGATTAGCTCCAAAACGTATCTACCATGAAGCTCCGCACAGCGGTAACAACATTTACTACTCACAACATCTTCACCGAACCCTAGTCCTGAACATGTGGAACTGTCCCTTTAGAGAAAAACCCTTCGAGTGCTTTTCATCACAACACGTAGTCACGTTGATACCTGCAATGAAGCACAGAAACAACTGCAGCAAGTCGAAACCCTTAATGTTCTTGTTCTACATGCAACAAATACATGAGGTTGCAATCTAGCGAATGTCCACATGAGGGCACTCTAATCTTCCAAGTCTAAAGTAACACTATGGATTAGAATGACAGTACACAAGGACAGGGCCCTGGAACTGTATTTAATTTATTTATGTCTTGTTTTTAGATTTCATCACATTGGAAATGGAATCTTCTTTCTCTCATTTTTGATGGACAAGACGATCCAAATAGTCCAAAGACGAGATTTTGTTTTCAACAGAAAAATGTGAGTCAGTTGGCTTCATTAGTAAATAGTTTGCCTGTGATTTAATCTCAGTGTAAATGAGAACTTCATTATCGGTGTTGAACATAATTTAGCCTACCGCTTTCCTTCCTCTTCACTAGTGTTGTCCGAAGTTTTTGTTACAAAATTGTCAAGTCAAAAGCACTAAAAAAAAAACTCCACTGCAATTACAAAGAAACTCGTTGATACTTTCTCAGCGATGCACCCAGCATTTAAACGCACAAGGCAATCAGATCTTTATGTCGAAAAGTATCAAAAGTGCTAAAAGTGAAAAAATATTAAAAATCTGAGTGAGTGCATGCACAAAAAAAGACATACATTTATATGTTTTTTCCATGTTTTTATTTCTAATGTGTTTCTTTTTTTTCTTTTTTTTTTTTTTTCCATTTGTCCACAAAGTTATATTAGTCACTACTATGTTAGGTCAGTTTTTCCCTCACTGCAATGGCAGTCAACTACACAAGAGCCCGAACTCAGCGTGGCCCCCTCACCTCGTGAGAGATTTGTCATTTCAAGGTAATACTTGATAAAAACAAAAAACAACAACAACAACAAAACAACCTGATAGCAAAACCAGGAGATGAGAGATGAAGCTCTGAGAAGTGTTAGATGTGATTACGTTTAACGAGCAAATCATTTAAATTCAAATTGAATATTTTGCACTCCCTTTTGAAATGAGTAGTAATATCTTTCTTTTTTTTTTGCATGAAATGTTCTTAAAGAAACACAAGCATGCACATAAGATGTGCGCAGTGGAACACATACAAACCAAGATTAACAATTTAATGCTACTTTATCTCAAGAAATAGGTTTTTCTAATCATTGAGTTCCTAGTGTGCGACACACATCTTTTTATTTTGCTGTTCTTTTTTTTTTTAAAGCATAAAGTTTACCAAATGTTTTTTTTATTTATTTATTGTTCTCTCAGATCAGAGGAACTTCAGCAGCGTCATTTCGTCTCCCGTCAATATGCTGTCGTGACAGGACCATTGTCTACAGTACAATGATTGGCCGGCGATTTTATTCCCATCTGCCAGTGGGAGGAGCTGAAGGGGCCATCGCTCAAGTTTGTGCTCTCTTGGAAAAAAAACAAAAACAAAACAAAACAACAAAAAAAACAAGAACCCAAAACAAACCAAAACACAACATCTCTAGAGCTATCTGTACAACATTCAACATCACATTTCTCTTTTTTTTCTTTTTTTTTTTACCATAATGCCAAAAACAATAATACTTATCATTATAAGAGCATTTTTCCATCTCGACGGCATTGAACAGACACCACACAAACAGAAAGGAGAGAGAGAGTAAAGAAAAAAAGTCTAATAAAGGCCTCAATACCAGATAGTACACGTCACCTTCGAGTGGTGCTAGAGACTGATTCGTGGACGAGAGAAGGACGTGGGGGAAGAGCAAGCAGAGGGATGGAGAGGAAACAGAAACGGATGGGAGAAAAGTCTGCAAGTTGTCCTCCGTCCTCAAGCGTTTTGTGTCTTTAGTGTCGCATTGGACATGTTTTGGCACCTCGCGATGTTAAAAAAAAAAAATCATCGTTCAAGAATCAAAAGACATTGGGCTTTGGTTTACCAAGGATTAGTATGATGATTACAGGTAGCCTCACTCTACAGCTACAGCCATCTTTTTTTTCTTTTCTTTTTTAAATGACCTAGGGCTTAGATAGTCCGTAATTTATTTATTTATTTTTTTTTCTTTTTAGAGTCGGGGTAAAAGTGAGGCCTAGTGGCCTTGTTTAAGGCCCAACGGGCCCGATGTGCAGGAGAGAACGGCCGGTCGGGAGGCAAAGACCCGGCAACGAGAAGAATCAGGAAATAAGCCAGTGTGATGAAGGGAAGGAGGAGGGAATGAGAAAAGGAGGGGAAATGAACAGAGAGAAAACAGGAAGAGAGGAGCGAAAGTGTGATACAGGCTAAGTGCTTTTGGTGAGTTTTACAAAATACACCAGGAAGTGCTTGAAACAGAAGGCACGGTGGCATTGATAGTAGTTGTAAAGGAGACACCACTAAGGGACTTTTTCAGTACGAAACTCATAAGGTGCTCTAAAAATAAACAACAACAAAAAACAGACACCAAACACGTCAATGCACGTTAAAGTGTGGTGGCGGTCACTCCAGACGGACTCTTGTGGCACATTTTCAGAACCAAAGGCAACCTAAACCATTTAGTACACACAGTTGGTACGGAGCCACCAGATATCGCCGGAGAACATTCTGAACACGCCTAACGTGTGGAGGGGCAACGTCAGAAGTGTTTCCATCACTGAATGTCTTCAGAACAGCCTTCCATACTGGCATCCATGCTGGTGTGTTGAAAAGCACTTGTTTAAGTCTAAAAGTTTGGGAAAAGATAGGGATTGTGTGGAATCTGAAGTTTCGTGGCCTCTTTAAAGGATTTCTCCAGTCGTGAATAGTGCATGTTTTGGGATCAGTGGTGTGGAATTTACAGTGTTGTCAGAGTGGCTAAGTTGTTTCTGCTGCGACGTGAGCGTTTTCCATACTTGTGCATACGTTAAAGACATCTGAATGGTCTCACAAAGTCTTCTGATAATTAGATAAATGAATCTGAATGTTGGTCAGTTGCTGCATTTTCCATAAATTTGCGCAAATTAAAACTGCAAAAATACATTTGCTTCAAGGAAAGCACAGCAATTTCGAAAAAAATTCACATTTTTGATGATGTTTTTGTCGCAAAGAGGTGGTTATTGGCTGTGTCAAAAGAGATGTATTTTGCGCACCTGCAATGGAAACACATTTTTCGCATCACGCAAGTCGCTTCATCAACAACTGGGTAACTGGGTTACTACTGGCAGAAATAACAAAGAAGATGAAATAGAAAGTAGCAGGAGGAAGATGGTTTGTTTTTTGAGTTTTGTTTTTTTTGGGGATAATGACCAAACACAGTTCATCAAAGGTTCTTCTGTAAAATTGTAGACTACAATTTCCCCAAAACGTGTTGCACGTAGCCGCTCCGGGGTGCTTGTTGCTCCAACAACTGAATAAGTCGCCATTTACAACTGTCGCAAAATTGTGTTTTTCTTTTTTCTACCAAAATTTTGGGCACATTTGTAATGGACACGCAGATGGTGTCAGGTTTTAAGCATCCAGAATCCAAACAGTTCCACATTTGCATAGAACGAGTTTAGGTGTAGGTACGGTTTGGTGATTGCCGTGACATCGGAGTTGCTGCAGCTGGTGATCGAAATCGATCTTCGACAGCATCAAATGTGAAGTGAAATTAGTACTATAGCATTATTTTGTCATGGCAGCGTGTCTTCATGAGCCACTGAACCAACTATATTGTTGCACGGGTGTAAACTCAACCAAACACATTCTGCAGATGCTATGCATTGGTACAAAAACCAACTCTATAAAATTTGGTATAGTACAAATGTATTCATTGAGGTGTACAGTCAGTTGAAATGTATAGTTAAGTTTTATTATTTTAGGCAAATTAATGTGTGTTGTCAAACTAAGCTTGGGCAGTACAGGGTCCTCAATAGGTTGTGCTGGGCAATTCCCACGCTTGCAACCTTGTGCTTTTTACATTTTCTTGTTTCATAATCCGGTGTTTCTGGTGTTTTGTACCAACATTGTGTCTTTTTGTAGCCACATTGGGAACATTTTGTACCAGCTATAACCACTGATTGCTTTAGTAATGTTCTGTATTGTTCCCAGTGTTTACTATAAATAAACACTGAGGTTATGTGATGTTAATTTGAGGTTAAGTGAAACCACACAGCAATCAGAACCACAATAGGTAATGGAGTGTAATATGAAATTCACAAAATAATTTTTAAAAAAAGCAATGAATATTTTGTGAATAGTGTGAGTGCTATTTATTTTCATACTTTATCAAAAAAGTTCAACTACCTAGGTACGTCGTTGACATGGGAGTAACAGAACGGAGGGGTGAATTAGATAAGGAACAAACTGACCCCAATACACATAGATTTAATGTTGCATGGATTTAAAAGCGCGGCTAAAATAGAGTTTATTGTTTACTCTGATTCTTTGGTTTTTTATTCTTAAACTGCAACAACTGTTTTGTCTGAAAAAGTTAAAAGTGTCAAATTAAAATGGTCACATCAAAGATTTCATGGAGAGAACGCAAGCTAGTGTTAGCATACCAACTTCTTTTACTTATAATGTCGCATCAACGTTAAAAGACGGAGCTAAAACTAAGTTTATAATTTACTTCCTTTTTTAGTTTGGATGTAAAACTGTAATAGCGTATGTGAATTGTTAACGTGCCAAAGAGTAAAACAGTCACAGTCAAAGGTTCCGCGAAGAAAAAGCAACTAGCATTAGCATGTTAACTTCTTGCACTTGCAGTCTTATTTTGAAAGTGTAGCTTAAATAATTTACTCATCTTTTTTCTTTTTTTAAATGTGAAACTGTCACAAGTAACCAGGACCAGTTGTTTCAACTGATAAAAAGTTACAGCTAAGGTTCCACTAAGAGGACAAAGGCTAGTATTAGCGATAGCGTCACATAACACATCGGCAGACGACGGGAGATGATCAGACGTCTAAGAGGGACGTGTGGAATCAGATATGCCTGATGATGCCCTCTCTCAACGTATAACATGTTTGGAAAACTCTCTAGAAATATCTGGTAGCGCTACACAAATCTTTACTTACAAGTGTACGAATGCTAATGCAGACCGATACTGCCAACAACATACACATTTGTTCTGATGTCACGCCACAAGCCTCAGACCTCATCAAATAACAAAAGTCGGCATTCACCAGCGACTTTTATTGGCTATACCTTCAAATCTCTTTTGTTTTTTTTCTCTTTTCACTTCACAGTCTTAGTTATTTATATTTCGAGCTCTAATTACGCTCCGCAACTGTTTGTTAATCGATGGGGTGAATCTACTCAAGCCACACACTTACACATTTAAAATGACGACAAAAACTGCCATTGGAAAAAAAACAAAAAAAAAAAACAGGAAGTTTGGTCTATCGATCGAGTCAACAGAAAAACAACTACTTTGGGAACTCAAACCTTGCACAGTGCTCTGAATAGACATTCCAACTAGTCTTAGCTCACAAACATTATAATCAATATTACTTATATTGATAACCTTTTTCTGTAAGCATCTTGAGATGAAAATAAACAAAAGTCTGTGGGTTTTTCTTTTCTTGTCTTTACAAAAGCTACACATATACTACTGGGATGTCTAAGCATGTGTTAGTGTTTTAATAATTACTACCGTTGTCTTTTCGGGGATTTTTTTTTCTTTTTTTTTTTTTTTTTTTTTTTTTACAGGAAAGAAAGAAGAGAAGGACTCCAGTTGTCCAAAAGTCACCATATCCCAAAAGTACAGCTTATTTCTCGGATTTTGTCTTGTCTGGTAGCAACTTTGTATTAATTTCTCATTTTCTTCCCTCTTACCTATTTTCGACAGGGTTCTTTTTAACACAACGTGCCAGCTGATTGTGGAAGAGGGTTTCAGTCTTGCCCCCCCTTACGGCCCTCAAGTCCTTGATTTATCATTTGTTCAACACGACGGACCACAACCCAGCTAGCGCTGAAAACACTGACTTCTAAACTGTGCCCTTTTTTCTACCTCATAGTCTTTAAACATCTTGTCATCGCCTACATTAAAAAAGAAGAAAATTCCTTTTGAAAAGAACCACAAACCGGCTACAGTCTGTGTCCACATTAACGCTATGATGTAGCATTTCTTTTACAACTATTCACAACACCCTAGAACCACTTTAAACAAATATATTGTATTTAAATCATTTGAAACTGTATATTCCAATAAAATTAGCGACCTATGCGAGACTCGGGGCAACGCCAGAGACTCTTTTGACAACATACATGAACAGGCACTAACCGATTACAACAACAGCAAAGAAAGAAAAAAAAATATACAAACTTTTCTCTCAGATAAGTTTTTTAGGACAGTAATCGATAAACACTTAGCTGAAAAACAAGGCAGTGATACACAGTCGAGGAAACAGTCACCTCATGCCTTAAATTAATGCCAGATAGCTTAAAACTTTCTGTGGATTGAGGAGGAAGATGAAGCTGACAGTCTCAAACTGTTCAGTGGTCAGTTTGCAGAGTTACCTGTTCAGCTCACTCAGTGTAGTAGTCAGGAATACACTGCTTATATAGCAATGCGTCAAAGTTTGAGATTCTGGAATGATGCTAGACCCTTAGCAGATGTTTGTTGACTAGAATATCATCTCAAAAAGCATCAACCTTGGACTTTTTCTTGAGGGGGTGGGGGGGAGAGGGACAAATACAAAAAGTGGCCTACAAAAATCCTGAAAAGTTGTGTCCATGCTCCTTTGAGATTACAGGAATATTAGTGTATGTTGTAGAGGATTAAGCAGTCACAAAGATAGTGGACAAGTCATACCAGAGGGAATATTAAAGCAGCACTTTTTCCCTCCGTTTGGCGGAAACATTAATCTTCAAGACTCTTTACGTGTTCTCATAAATTAAACTATGAAGGGATACCTTTTATCATTATTTCTTGTCTATCACATATACAGCTGAAATTCCCCCTGTCTCTTTCTTTTAACCAGTTAGGACCTTGTCATTCTCCGCTGCCATATGGTTGGGGCTCAGAGCTGGTGAAAGGTCGAGGGACATCCTCAGATCCCGATCTTGCAAATCCTCCACACTGCTGGTCTCCATGTTCTCTTCAAATTCCTCATCGAATTCTTCTTTGTCCTCCTCCGCCTTTTCCTTGACAGCTGGGCTGTCTCTTACATTCTTGGGCACTGACCCCACAGAGTCTTGACGATAAGAAGCATCGTCCAGATGATCTGCTGTATCCTCAGGGTGACCATTAGTGATCTGGTGCTGAGTTGAAGACCAGTGCCCCACAGGGACTGGAGATTCTCCCTCACTCACATGCCTCCATAATGTCAGAGGATCGAGGTCGGAGTTATCCATCCGTGGCTTGGTGGCCCTTTGGGCACGTTCATCATCCAGTAGAGCGGAGGAGACCCTCTTGCGCCTGGACTTACTTGTGTGGTTTACTTGGATATGCATGGCCATCAGCTCAGCTGATGATGTATGAAAAGGGCAGAACAAACACTGGCTCAGTTTGACCCCTGCTGAGCCATCCCTCCCACCATCAACACCAAACACAGCTCCTCCATCTCCAGCACCAATGCTCTCATACTCCTCCATCCCTCCATGGCTGGGTGAGGTGCGACGGGAAAGATCCAAAGGTTCAAACCCTCCCTCCTGAGTTGATGGCACAGGTTCATCCTTGTCACTTTGTGGCTGAACCATTCGACTAGTAGTGAGAGGCTTACGTCGGGATACTTTAATAGTCTTTGGTGGGGGGGATCCCCTGACCCAATTTCCCTCCATCCCTCCTTGGTACAGGGCCCCCATGACTCCAGACAGATATCTGTACTGGGTCTCCAAGTCGACATCCTTTAGAGCTGCCAGAGCCTTCCGGTGTTCGCGTTGGTCTGGGAGGCCCAGGAGCCAAGACTGCTGGCTGGACCGTGAAACGGTTGTATCAGCGGTGCCTCGGTTGATCGGGCCGTGGTTGAGCTGAGATCGACGCTGCTTGACCAGTCCAGGGGCACCAGATGTGTGAATGCTGGAGGTGGACCCAGAGGAGGAATTGGAGGAAGCTGATAAGGCATTGCGTTGCTCCCTGTGGTGCCGCTGGAGGTGGTACTTCAGTGACCCAGACTGAGTGCCTGCATAGTCACAGTGGGGGCATTTGTAGGGTCTCTCACCTGCAGAAAAAAAGAGTATGTCAACTCAAACTGATTACATCTGGACATACGTAACATTGACCACAAGTCTCAGGCCCTGTTCACATGGAGACAAGATTAGGTTTATCTTGGGTGTACCCACAAAGGAATTTTGTCATTTAGATTGTGCATTCACACGTATCAGACATTTTGGGAAACCAGAAACAATCATTTTTGAAATTGGTCCCAGAGTTGATATATTTCAAAGCAGCGGTTTTATGTTTCCATGTGGCCACGTGAGTTGCGTCTTTTTTTGAAACTGTGACATAGAGGCTCCTCTGTATGCAACATTGGTTTGTGTGAACAGACATTTGTTCTTAATTACTTATGGAAATGTACCGTTTGCTTGCATGTGGACAGCATGTTATTCACTAAATGGAAAAAAGCCAAACATAGAAGTGGACAAAAATAATGCAAAATCACAAATAATACAAGTTAAATATGATGTCAACTCACATCGTGCCTACCATCTTGTTTTTACACACATGTTCATCAATTTGTATTTAATTGAACTTTGAATTCAAGTCAGCTCCCAGAGCAGATTATTTAAATAAAAGCAAGTTTTTAGAAATATTTTTGTCATTTGCAATTCCTGGTGCAGCACCTTCAAAGTTTAGTCTACTAACTGGGTCTACTTGCTTTTTGTTGGAATCTTTGGAATCTAAAATGTGAATGAAATATACTGAAGTTTGTGATTGTAATGTGGCAAACTGTGAAAAGTTCAAGGCACATGTAGCAATGAAGCTAACGCAGGGCAAATAAGTGCCACTGGATTACATTTTACTAGTGTGCAGTGGGAGCTGTAGTTGCAGAGTTTGAAGGTAGATGGCAGTGTTCCATTACAGTTCAAATACCACAGCTGGTTCTACCACAGGCTCATGTTGCTTGTCAGCAGCAGAAAACTGATAGCATATGAAAAGTGCAAAAGATCTTATCCACAATATTAAAAAAAAAAAAGATGGAAATTAACAAATTGTCAGCTCACAAACAGACTCGTTTGTACAGCAGTGAGAATACTTTGAAGAACTCACAGAGTGAATGTTGGGCTGATTGAGATTGATGGGAGATCTCGCAAATGGACAAGATGGTGCTTAATTTTAATGAGATGTATCAAGCACAGGAAAATATTAAGAGATGGACACCGATAATCCACTAACGATGCTGGGGAGGCGCTGAAAGAGAGGCCAGGTTCTTCCTTCTGATGTCATGATTTTCTTACCAACAAGTGTATTAAGGTCAGCATGTGGTGCGGTGTTAGATTGGGGAACCCCGACATGGAGTCTTTAATGCATCCGCCAGGGGTTGGATCGCTAACAATAACACTGTCGCTGCTTTTCTTTTCTGATTAGCAGCAAGACTAGCAGCAAGAAATATTTTTTAAAAAGTATTTTTATTAACTTGCGTTCTAGTTTTTTAGTGTTAACTCCAGACTGGGACTGAGAGCCATATTGCATTGCAAAGGTTTTCTGAAGCCTTTAATTCTTTCTCATTTTGCCATGTAGCAACCTCAAGTTTCAACAGATTTCATTAGATGACGTTTGTGAAAGAACACAAAATTGTAACGTGAAAGAAAAATCACACACTCTTGGTCACAAATCTTACTGATCTGATTGAACACATTTTTTTCTTTTATTAATAAAATCTGAAAAATATATAGTGCAATTTTGCCCTGGTCCCTTCACTCCACACTTCAACAAAAACCAGTGAACAAAGTTGAACTTGTTGACCTACCTAAACAAAAGCAGCTGCCTCTAGAGGAAAACTAACACAGCACAGCGATTTGAGCACACCATCCCCGCAGAGAAACATAACGGTGGCAACATCATGATGTGTCGTTTCTTTTCAACAACAGCATGGGAAGTTGATGGAAACTCAGATGCAGCTCTTAAGAGTCTCTTAAAGACTTGCGATTGGGGAGGAAGTTAACCTTCCGGCAGCAAATCGAACCCAATCATATAGTCACAGCAGCAACTTAATGGGTTAGCTCAAACCTATCAAAATCTTAGAATGGCCTAGTTAAAGTTCACACCCAACCACGATTGAGAAATTGTTCCCATCCCCAAACCTTTAATTGGATTGGCTTGATTAAAGTTTGTGTTCATAAATTCAACCCTTCCAATCTGACCGAGTTTGGGCAAACATGTCAATCTTTGATGCAAAGTTTGTTGCATCTGGGCATTACGCTAATTTGTGTTGGTCTATGTCATTCAATTCCAACAATATACCTTGTAGTAATAAAAAAATTGAAAATTTATCCTTTAACTGACCCTAAAAACACTTACATGTTATCCAAATGGCTCCATGAGGACAAAGGAGACCTCATGACAGATTCAGGGTCAAAAGACCTTTTGTTAACCTTGTAAGTCGCTGAATGTCGATGATATACATGTGACTCCATCCATTCATACGCCGATACAAACAGGTTAATTTTTGTCCTTTATTAGACTGAATTGTTTCAAGTTCCTCATGTAAACCAGCGTTGTTTCAGTCACCGGTCATAAAGTCTATATTTGTTTGACCTTGAAATGGAGACGAGGGTGCACGCAAGTGAGAGAAGTGAGTGCCGTCTCGGTTTTAAATCCCCGGCATGGATTAATTTTCTCTTCAGAAACTACCGTTAATATGTGCCCGAGCTCTACTGGTGCGCAGGACGAGGGCTCCAGAGGAGCCGCTCACTTGCCTGCAGTAGAGATCTATGATTAGCACTGGCCAGCTCTCTGGAGTCAAGTGTGTGGAAAAATAAAGAGGTAGTTCTGAAAACGAGACAACACTCAAGAAACCTTTCCAGGGACTTCTAGAGGTAAAATAAAAATAAAAAACCCAGAGAAAAGTGGCTTATTAAGCCCACAGCTGCGTCTCACCTGTGTGAACTCTCAGGTGCACTTTGAGATGGTGGGAAGAGCGGAAGGCTTTGCCACAGTAGGGGCAGTCTTTTATCCCTCTGCCACGCACTCGCTCCCTGGTGGGAACAGAGGGCATGGAGGAGACTGCTGTGAAGCCGTTTTCTCCTGCGAGTGGAGAAAAAGGAAAGGAAAATGTTAGCATAACAGTTTTTACTGAAGACATAGGCATTATTTACTACAGTAAAACGATAGGAGAGAAATTTATGCGTCAGGTGTGAACAAGGAAACAGCAGAGTACAAAAAGGAAACAAGAAAACAGATGCGATACCTTTGAAGTTTGAAAGAACGGAGTGAAACCCTGCGACTGCTCCTGCTTGCTGAGATACACTGCTGTTCAGTTTTGATTCCTGTCTTCCGTCTCCCATTTGCTGGGATCCACCACCGTGAAGTTGGGATTCGGGTCTCACATCACCGCCGCCGGATCCTCTTCCCAACCCTGGTCCTCTTCGAGTACCAGCCCCCTCTTCTTCACTGGTGCCACGATTCTGCGGCCTCTGAGCATGGACGCGAGCATGTACAACCACCTGCTGCAGGCTTCGGAACAACTTTCCACAGTCCGGGCATTCCCAAGGCCCTCCGGTTCCTCCCGACTCTCCCCTGGGATCTAGGCCTGATCGGTAGACCCTGATTTGGTCTGCTTCTGTGATCACTGAACTTCGACTTGGGGCTCGCTGACCTTGCTGCTGCCCTCGCTGCTGCCCTCGCTGCTGTGGTCTCTGCTGCTGCTGTTGCTGCTGCTGTTGCTGCTGCTGCTGTGCAACAGCCAGGCTGCGAGCAACCAGCTGCCACCAAGTTGCCTGATCCCCTCCTTCTGAAATAGTTGATGCAGTTTCACTTGTGCCACCTCCTCTGGATGTTCCCCCTCCTCTGGTAGGGTCGACACCTCCACTAATGCCTCCACCACTGTTTCCCATCTCTGCCACCTGAGCTGCTGCTTGAAGTCTTTCCATGCAACTGGCCCCACTGCCATCACTGGGCAAGCCAAGGTATCCCAGGATAGCAGACTTGCTTAAACTCATATCGATCCTACCCCCAGTTTCTCTGTCAGACCTTCCTTGTCCACCTCTGGCTCCGCCTCCTCGATGAGCCATGAGCAGGCTCGAGTACAGGGAGTTCAGGGTGTGCGTACTAGCAGAGCCCTTGGACTGCTGCTCAGCATTCCCGAGAATACCATGGGTTCCCAAACCAGCTTTGAGGCCGAGCTTGTTAAGATGAACTTTCATGTGGTTCTTGAGGAACCAAGGCTCCTTGAAGCCACGTCCACACACCTGGCACTTATGGTCTAAGGAGTCCTTGTGTTTTCGCATGTGTCCCTTCAGAAACCAGGACTGGGTAAATCTCTGGCCACAAGTATCACAGCGAAATGCTGGCACTGAAGCGGATGCAGAGACTCCAGCAGCCGATGAGATCTGAGCGTTACCTGGGGTCGGGGCGGGAGTGTGGGTTGGGGTGGGCACTGGTGTGTCAATGATGGTCCTGCAATTGAAGGCTGTTGTCAAGGGCGGCATCTCTGGGGATGGGTGGCACTCCTGTAAGTGAGATGCCAGACTCTCTTCTTGGCTGGCAGAGAAAGGACAAAGGGTGCATTTGTACGGGTTGTGGAGGATGCGGACGTGACGCGCCAGTTCTGAAGCCGTGCGGAATTTTCCCTTACAGGCATGGCAGCGAAACGTAGGCGCTGTGGCAACAGATGACCCCTCGCCAGTAGAGGAATAAGGGGAGGTCACAGATACAGGGTCTTCAGTCAGGGGTGGGGTCAAGGGTGTGCTGTCATCCAATAAAAAGTTTGGGTTCTGGTCTGGCTTCAGATCATCATCTAGGCCTTTGTCCTCTCCGTTGACATCCTCCTCCTCTGTGAGGTGCTGGATTAGAGTTTTTGGCAGTAAACGCTGATTTGCACGACTTCTATGATTGGAGAGCAAATCTTTGTGATTCTGATGGATTTTGAGATGTTGCTTAAGGGAAGATGAGGGGGGTCTAGTGTGGTACAGCGATGCAGCTCTCCGATCTCGGTCCAAACTATGTGCTCGAGCATGAAGAGACAAGATGCTTTGGAATCGAAACCTCTTCCCACACACGTGACAGGGAAACTTGAGTGCAGGCCCAGGCGAGGTCCCTCCAGCTCCAGGTGTTGCTCTGGTAACAGTTTCCTTCTGGAACAGTTGAAGATCTAGTTCATCACTGCAGTTTCCACCTTGTCCTGAAGAAAGGGCCAACTCAAGGGCACCGTAACCAAGAAAAGGAGCTGACGGTGTGTCTGGAGGGGAGGAATCCAAACCGGGGTTGCATCCCGCATCTTGAGCGCTTCCTCCTGGAAACAAAGCGACTGCCGGGGTCGGAGATGGAGGAATTCCATCTAGCTCTTCTTCGCAGTCTTCTCCGTCGAGATCAAGGCAGTCGTTGTTGTTGACCTCTTGAAGGGGGAAGGGAGAGAGGGGGAAATACGGCGTGGCGTCTGGGCTCTGCGGGGAAGGTTCGGGGCTGGGGATCGGCAGGACAACGGGGCTGTCGGGCAGAGGAGAGGAGGCTTGAGGGCTGTGGTCAAGAGATGGCAGCGTTTGGGGAGACTGTGGCTGCTCACAAGCAAGAGACAACACACACTCTGGTGGAGAATCCATCCTCTATCAATGAAAAGATAAAGACAAGCAGAGTCAGGCAATAATTTAATAAAATAACATCGAACTTATTTTTTTAATCACTAAAATGGTTAACCCCTCTCCAACTGCTTTCAAAACACATTCTGAAAGTGTCTATTCAGCTACGTAAGGTTCTCATACATCCTGTCTAGAAGGGAGGGGTAGAAACTTACTAGCAGTGTGTTTGGTGTTATGCCATTCTTTAGTGTCTCGGCCTAGAGGGGAAACACTTCTGAGGCAGCCTCCTTCTATAATTTCCTGGGGACAACATAAACAAATGAACCTAATCAGTGAACAGGAAGATCCAACACAAATATCTCAATATCGAGCTTTTTAAAAAAAACAAAAAAAAAAAAAACATTTTTGAACCTGAGTTTTTGTTCAGCTCAAAAATCTTGCATTTTAGTAACAACCTAACTAAAGGCCTCATGGTGAATTTGTAAAAGTGCAAGAGGAAATGATTTGCAATACTGAGCATCAAACCGTAGGATTTTTTTTTTACCCCCTTTCTTGTTGAACAGGATTAAAAGCAATTTGCATCGGAGACACTTTGAACACGTTCCATCACCGTTTTCCAACGGCTTTACAACCACGCTTTAACGTATGCGCATAAAAGGAACCCGTCACTTGATCTTCATTTACTCCTCAGCCTGGGTGGGCGCGTGCGCCTCAACGCGTAACAGGTGTGCACCTGTTCGTTTCCTCCTGCATGTGTTCGCGGGATTCTCCCGCATACTGTCAGCACATATGGGACGATTAGCCGGAGCGTGACTGCACACCGGTGTGCATTTATGCGAGTGTGTTTAGAAGTTAAGGGCACACACCGCAGGACACGGAGTGTCCCAAACAGGATGGGCGCGCAATGTTTTGACTTCCCCACACACCCTTCCTGTACACACATACAGTGGCAGCTTTTTTTTTTTTTTTTTTTTTTCCAGCTTAAATCGGGATTCCATACAGAGGGAGCGTGCCTCCGCGGCGACACGACAACATTTCTTGAATCCCCTGCTCGGGTGTGGTTGTACTTTGCTTAGTCATGGCTACTTGCTTAGGTAATTTACAAATGTAAGCGTTTTTTGACTATTGTGTTGCCTGCACTGCGACTGTCACCCCAGTTAACACGTCAGCTAAAATGTAAAGTGTGACATACAGCATATTGAGCCTTTTTTTTCCCCCCTTTTTTTTGGCAGGCTCACTCACTTACTCACATACACACCCCAAATGTTTGGGTTTTTTTTTGGAGTACACAGCAGTTTGACTGGATTTATGCACATTCAGACTGTAAAGGTTTTTTGTTGTTGTTTTCATGCCCATCATTCGGTGCAGTCGAGCAGCGGCGAATGCGCCCACAACAAAACAAAAGGTCATAAATCAATGTGCAAAAACAATAGAACATCTGTGCTCGCAGGTGTGGCAGATATGTTGCTGTTCGCATGGCGGCGGGATCATATATGTGTTTGTAGGACGCGTGTGTGTTTGTGTTTGCGTGTTTGGGTGTGTGTGTGTTTGTGTGTGTGTGTGTGTGTGTGTGCTGCTCAGGCTGGATGACAAAGAGATTCTCATGTAGCCAGTTGACATTTTAGCTCAGCTATGACTCACAGGGATATCACCCCATATCAATCACATGAACACTCACACACAGCCCTTTCTTAATCCACCATTATTGTTCCTCCTCTCCCCATCTTCTTTTCTCCCCACTCTCGTCTGTCTTTTCTTTCTCTCCCTGATTCATACTTCTTCTCCCATCCCCCTCTCATCCTCTCGCACCCTCCCGCCGTCTATTATTCACTAATTTTCTTTCATTCGCTCCCTCTCTCCCCCCTTTTTTTTTTTTCTCTCTCCTGCAGTGTTGCCAGTTGGCAGAGTGCCAGGGAATGCTGATATCAGCTGGTAGATTGGGCCCTGCCAACATGGCGAAGAGCAAGGGAGGGGAAGAAAGCAAAAAAAAAAAAAAAAAAAAAAAACGAGAAAGGAGGCAGACACGGAGAAAGAGAAGAGGCAGACGGAGAGAAATATACAAACAGGGCAGCTTCAGAACAACATTGTCAGAGGCCATGGGAATGAAAATGACTTAATTTGATTGTCAACGTGGTGTTGCAGGGTGGGGTGAAGTTTGGGGAGGGCTGGGGGGGGGCTGAAATGAGGGTGGTTAAAAAAGACAGGCATGTTGGAACAGAGGCTACTAGAGAGTGCCACAATAATATAAAGAGATGTTATGCTCTTGAAAAATAAACAGCAATTATACAGATAAAAATGAGCAGGACAGAAAGTAAAAAAAAAAAGAAAAAAGGAAAGAATGTGTGGCTGTCTCTGCAGTTTTAGCTCTGATGCTATTATCACATGAATATCAGCATCGCGGCGCATTGTTCCGCCGTGACGGCGGCTGTCGCCAACCACCGGTCCCTGTCAAGCCAATGAAGAGAATTTGGATAGATGGAGAGCGGGCGATAAGGTGCAGCAAAGGATGCAGGGAAGAGGGGGAGGGAGAGAGGAGGAGAGGAGAGGAAAGGAGAGGGGAGGGGAGGGCCGGGGCCGGTGGAGGGGCAGAAATCAGATTGGAATCGGGTGGAGCAGAGACAGAAACAACAAAAGGTGCAAATGAACCAAGGAATGTGCAGAGGAACGGGTGGGGAGGGGGGACTAAAGCGCCTCTAGACGTGGTCAAGATGCACATTTATTCACATTATGGGTTCATATAGGAGGCGTTCCCCAAGTGGAGGGTGTAATTCCCCCCCCCAAAAAAAAAAAAATCCAACCAGTCGCTAAGGTAGACAGACAATTACAGGAAAAATCAGATCCCTTTAAAACGTGTTTAATGGTGATTTGAACAGTCGAAGGGAGGCCTGTCATAGTGAGATTTTCCTGGACGATGAATTGTCCCAGAAATTATCGCGATAAATGACGATATTGTCGTTTTGAGACCGTTTTCAATTAAAATAACGACAATGACATAATAATGCTGGAGCGCATTCTCAAAGATTAATTAACCTTAAATTCAGATGGACATGTTACACTAGAAGATGTTTTAAATGCCCAAAATAAATCATCAGAAAGAACAAATAAAATTGATTGTGAAGTCTTCTTCAAAAAAGGAGGAATTTTAATTTATAATGAGATCAGTTGATTTATAGACTTATTGATTATTGCGGCAGGACTGCTCGGGTGATAGCACATGTTGAAAGTATTCACACTTTATTTCATTTTATTTATTCACATTAAGGTGACGCATATTTTTGAAGTGGAAGGAAAATGAAAAAAAATACTACATGTGATGGAAAATGTATCTATCAACACACACACACACACACACACACACACACACACACCGTACCTTCAGTGAAACATGGTGGTGGCAGCGTCATGGAGGGAAATTAAGATAAATACAGGATAATTATAGAGAAACACAGTGAGCGGCTGCAAAGACATGCAACTGAGCTTCACCTTCCAGCAAATTATATTCAGCATCGCAATAGCAGCAGCAATGAGCTGGATCTTCTCAACACTTTGCTGAGTTACTGGTGCAATTTCAGCTTGAAATCTTTAGAGGCATGCTGGGTAAAATGATCCCCACACCATGATGCTGCCACCGCCATGTGTCAAGAGGGGTTGGTGTGTTTAGGGCAGGGATGCAGGATTAGATTTCCTTCACATAAGTGCCTTTTGTAAAATTTCTGTTTCGGTTGCATAAACCCATTGCCCAGCTTGGATTTCTCCATGACACTTTTCCACGATGGTGTGTTGATAATTGCAAATAGTTCACAACTGGGCTTAATTTTGGGGTATCTGAATGAGGCGAGGCGAACAAAAAACGCACCAAAACTTTTTATTTGACAATTTCGAGCTAGTTTTTGGTCAACCCCAAAACTCCAAAGGAATACACGAACGAAGAGTTGTATTCGTAGAGCAACAGAATGTGAAAAATATCAGGGATGTCCAAAATGAGGCCCCGGGACCATTTGCGACCCTCTGAAAGATTCTGCGCGGCCCACATCTGCCGTGGGCTATTTACTGTGAAGTTTGTGGTTGATCCACAAACATCCAGCAGCCTTTAATCAGAAACAGACTCATTCCACAGAAACAATCAGAACCCTATACCTAACCTTTATGCCTAACATTTTGTTTGCTTCAATAAAATCTTGCCCATTTTGCTTGATATTGAGCAGATAAAGATAAAAATATAGCTAATTTACCACATGGGAAAAAATAAAATAAAATTAGTTCTTGTGGCCCACAAGTGTTTCCTACCGGATGAACATTCTGACACCACTTTCCAAGGTACTGGGCGAGAGGTGGGGATTTCACACTCTTGCAGATCTTTCTCCTCACTGACAAATTCCCAGCATTCATGTGGGAGTGTAATGACACAAGGTAATGACAGCTTAAAAGCGCCGGCGCTGCCGGTTTAAGTGGCGCAGTGATGTTGTCATTACAGTAATTGCAGCGTAACTCTGTGGGCAATGAGGTAACTGATGACCCCTACCCATCGCCGCCACCTTCGCCACCGCCCCTGTTCTAAAAAGGCAGCGCGCGTTTGCATGGTTTAAATAGCGATAACCACTCTTGACTTGAAAGTTGCGCGCGAAGACGAGGAGGTTGCTGAGTCATACATCACATCCCTGGTAAATAGTTGCCAAAAGGAGCGAGAGGGCAATATGTTCTGACAAGTTTATTTCGGGGAGGTTTTGATGACACTGTCTAAATACCAACAGTATTATAGAGAAGGCGGCAAGCGCGGGTTTGTACATGTCAGCAGGCTTCGCATTGTGAATGTAAATATCAGGGTGTGAGAGCATTTCACTTTTCTTTTCTTTCCTCTTTTTTTTTTTTTTTTTTGACAGTGCGTGTGGGCAGTAGTGCAAAATCAGCTCAGCTTTCCTTTAACGTGTGTCATTTTCAGAGGGCTTGGGTAATGTTACCCATCGTTTACAGCCAAATAACGGTTGATGCGATTGTCTCTGTGACCTCCCGTTGTTTTAATGTAAAGTAGTGATTGGTAAAAAGCACAAACAGGCCTGAGCATGGAGATTGCACCAGGTGGTGTCAAACTGTGCGTGAATTCAAACAGATTTCCTTTGGCTTTGTTTTGTTTTTTTCTTTCTCCCAGTTTAAAATGCCTCAGATCAGACACATGATTTTAATATTGAGCAAAGGTAACTGGAGTGGATACAGAGCAGATTTCAAATGATTGCCAATCAGCTGAAGAAAGGGTAAATCTGGCCGTATGCTAACGTCATTTTCTTCACTGCATCTCAAATTGA